CTCCCTCCAGCCGCGACAGCAGCATAAGATCTCCCCTGGCCCATACCGCTGTCCTCCTCTAACCCCCACTCAATCTGGTCATAGGGGATTTCGTCCACACTACCTTCGTCTAAAGTTAGGACGAGGCTATCCTTAGTCTTTACTTCCCCGAGATAGTGCGGCCCTTCCATGGCTTCCCTCTATCCAGATCTCTGTGCCAGAAGGTAGACACAGACGCAGACTTGGCTTCAAAGGCCACTACTTCACGACTCAGAGAATCGTATGTCGTGGTAGGGTCTTCGCTCTTCGCGAAGAAGTGCCCTCGCCCTGGCACTTTTCCACTTGCGTCCAGCTTCGGGCATAGCTCGATAGAAGAGGTTAACTAATTGGGTCTCTGTGACTTTGTGATCAGGGACGGCCACTAACTCGTCCATTGTACCCTTGAGCGCCCTGGCACTTTTCCACTTGCGAGTATGGATGGTTTGCAGTTTATCTGAAGCTTTTACACTGCGAGCGACGTCAGCAAATCGCTCGCGCAGTAATCTCAAAAATTTGGTGAGAGAAGTAAATGAGGAGTACGCGACAGGATCGTCGCTGCAGTCGGCAGCGCGAACTAAGGACCTTGCGAAACTGGCAGCTTTATCTTTCAGCGCATGGATCGCAATTAAGACTTGCTGATCCGAAGAGACCTGTTGCAAATGCACGTAGGTCTTCACGTTGGCTTCCCAGTTATCAAAGTTGTCTTCCCTCTTCCCAGCATAGGAATCCGGGAACTTAACTTTGATTGGTTCTCTACGTGGTGGGCGCGGCTCCTCTTCCCTAGGAGCTGTTGCTTTGACGCCCTCAATGGCGCCAGCGCAGAATCGTTCAGTCTTATCAAGGCGATGTYCCACCTCGACTCCAACGGCACCTACCAGTTCCCGCGCAAAGTCCCGTAAACCCAATCGTATCGAGCGCACARCTATATCTTGACTCCTGCTGAAGTCATACTGATCTGCCTGGACTCGTGCCAGGCACGCGATGCTTCGAGCCACGACTCGCATCTGATTCGGGAAATCGGGTTGGGCGGCTAATTGTTGTTCTATCGTTTTCACTTCCTCTARTGCTTCCGCCGCCTCTGCTGCCTTGTCAACTCTCCTCTTTTTCTCCCTCATCACCGCTAACTTCCACTCCATCCTTTTCTCATCTTCCAACGCCTGGCGTCTAAGGAGGTCTTTCTTTGCATCCCAAGCCCTCATGGCGGCTTCTTGCTGATCCTGCGGAATATACATGCTAACTTCTTCTTCCTCTCCCATGGCGGCTTCTTGCTGATCCTGCGGAATATACATGCTAACTTCTTCTTCCTCTCCCACAGTCAGATTAGCCACCCATTCGGATATCCTTTTTTCCAGCTCCCCACCAGGACTGCCGCTATGCTGTCCACTACTCTTCTGCACTGGCGGGTCTTCCTCTTCCTCTTCTACCGTTTTCAACTTCTCTTCCTCTTCTTTTATTAGCCTCTCCTTCTCCCTGGCCATCTCCTCTTCGATCT